AAACAGTATGGAATTTTCTCAGAAAACTAAAAATAGATCTGCCTTTTGACCCAGCAATTCCACTGCTAGGATTATATCCTAAGAACCCTAAAATATCAATTTCAAAGAACCTATGCACCCCAATGTTTATAGCAGCACAATTTACAATAGCCAAGAGGTGGAAGCAACCTAGGTGCCCATCAGTAAATGAATGGATCAAAAAATTATGGTACATATACACAATGGAATTCTATGCAGCAGAAAGAAAGAAGGAGCTCCTACCCTTTGCGACAGCGTGAATGGAACTGGAAAGCATTATGCTGAGTGAAATAAGCCAGGTGTTGAAAAGCAAATACCGTATGATTTCACCTTTACAGGAACCTAAACAACAAAACAAACAAGCAAGCAAAATATAACCAAAGACACTGAAATAGAGAACAGGTGGACACTGAGCAGAGGGGAGAGGGGAGGGAATTCCAGGGGAAAAGGGGAAGGGTTTACAGGAATTAGTATAAAGAACACATGGCCAACAAATAAGGGGGGTGGAAATGGGAGGGAGGTGGAGAGCACTGGGGAGGTGGGCTGGGATGGGACTAAAAGACAGAAAACAGTACTTGAACAACAATTAAATAAATTAAATAAAAAATTTTAAAATTAAAAATAAAAAGATTCTACAGCATTTGTATTCAAATACATGGCAGAGCTGCTGCTTCTGTCTCCTCCATCAGGACCTTTCCTACATCCTCTATCTTCCAGAGGCACAGTAAACAACCATCTGTGGAGACAGAGCAGGTATTTCTCAGGATCCCAGCCAGAGGCAGGACTGTGGTGGAGGCACAGACAATGTAACCTTCATCTCCCCTTTAGCCCTTGTCTTAATCATTTCTGACACATCAACTCCCTTCCCTACAAGTCTGTCCTTCATCTGGCAGGGTCTCAGGGTGGCTCTCAAACTCATCTTGCCAAAGATGTTGACACAAGAAATGACTCCTTGGTGATGCATGGTCCATGCGGCTGCCACTGCTGGTTTCTGCCATGTGGTTTCGTGCTAGATTCTGAAGCACCTGTCTTGCTTCCTCTTCAGCGGTGGGAGCCCTCATGACCATGAGGAGTCCTCTGTGTCATAAGTCAGGATGGAGTCAGGTCCTCTCCCAATGCTGCTACTGCCAACACAGTAGGAGTTGCCTACACCTGGTCCTGGCTTGGGGTCTCCTTGAAAAAAGTGACCTTGGAACAACCTCAAGAAGTGGAACCAGGCAAAAGCAGGAATCTCCAGTAACACCACAGACACGACACCTTCTCTTTGCTTTTCCATCTTCAAAACTAAGGCAGCACACCCCCATCTTCTGACATATTTTCTGACCTGGATTCACACTACATTAAAAATAAATCCCTCCTGCCACCTTTCCGGGAATATTTAGCCATTCTAACAGAATACTGGCTGGGGAAACATGTGGGACGTTGGGTGAGGAGGCAGTCATCTTAGCAACAGTGTCTCTGTCCTGGTTCCTCCTCCACTGCGAAAGCACCCTGGTCAGGAAGGCCTCAAAATCACCAAATACCAGGCTTTCTGCACAGAGGCTGTTACTGCCCATCCCTTAAAAATCTAAGCTAACTGAACTCCCCCTTTCAATATAAATGAGTGGTTTTTTGGGGGGGACATTGATTTATTGGTTTGGTTGTTTTTGTGTTAGCACTAGGAGCAAAAAAAATGAGCAAGACATTGTCTCTGTCCTCTGTGCAGAACTCCTCAAGGAGTTCCCTTATGCCCAGTTTGCTGTGGCATCCATAGGAGATGATGTTTTAGATTAGATAGTTATTTAAACCAAAGAGAAGAAAGGCTATAGGACTTCACTTTCAGAAAGAATAGTGCTCTAGCCTTGCCCAGAGTTCCGAAGTCCCTCAGTACTGAACCAGTCTATGGAAGCTTGAGGGAATTGATAATGAGCCTCAGAATATAGTCACCTTTTTTAAAACTTAGATCTGTCTGTGCAACAGAGCCTCAGGCCCACGGGGAGGAACGGGTTTTAGTGCTACATGCTCAAGATATACAGCTTTTATTCAACTATGACTAGTCTCAACTTTTAACATCATTATTTATGAGTGTGTAGTTTTAGAATATTATAAATGTATAAATAAGCCAAATTAAAATAAGTTCAGGAATTCTCCAAAGGAGTCAGAAAATAATAATTTCTTCTGTAACTCTAATTCTTCCTAGTTTTTCTAGCATCTTCTTTATCTCCTCTGCAGCAGCAGAACCAATAAGAGATAAAGAGAAATCAAGAGGCAAGTAAAGATAGAGATGAGACAAAGTCAAAGCCAGAGATTTATCCCGAGGAATTGGCTCGTACAATCAGAGAGGCCGAGAAGTTCCTAGATCTGCGAGGTGGAAGCCCAGTCCAGCAGGTGGTGTAATTCAGTCTAACAGCCTGAGAATAAGGAGGGTTTCTGTTCTGAGGGCAGAAGATGGGATGAGAAGTCACAACTCAAGTAGTAGTAGTAGAGAGAGAGGAACATTAACATAAGGGAGAAACTTCAACAGGTTGCCTCGCACACATGACCCAGCCATTGGTGTACGGAACAAAGCTCCAACCAACAGAGACACCAAGCCAGGGCTAAATGGGTGTTTCTTAATGTTTTGGCTATTACAGATAAGCCTTCTATGAACAATTTTGTACATGTCTTTTGTTGGATACAGGTAATTTTTTTTCTTTCAGTATTTGTTATTGTATTTTTTCCATTACCATTTAGTCCCCTTATACACCCCTCCCTCCCCCTGCAAACACCACACTGTTGTCCACGTCCATGAGTCCTTTTTCCTTTTTGCTCAATCCCTCCACCCCCTACGCTCCCACTTTTAGCTATCAGCCTGCTCTCCATCTATGACTCTGTCTCTATGTTGCCTGTTAGTTCAGTTTGTTCATTAGATTCCGCATGTGAGTGAAATCACATGGTATTTGTCTTTCCCTGACTTGCTTATACATAGGTAATTAATTTTTATGTGAGAAAAAGAATTGAGTCACAAGGTATTTGAATGTTTAGCTTTGGAGGCACTACTAAACATTTTTTCAAAATATTTTAAAAATAACATTTTTTCAAAGTAGTTATACCAATTTACACCCTAACAGCAATGTAAGAGTGTTCTAGTAGTTCCATATCTTTGCCAATACTTGTTATTGTCAAGAGGTTTTGTTGAGCCTTTCTGGTGGCTATGCCCTCATTTCTACATTGAATTACAACCACAGACAACATTTACACAGAGCTCAGTAGTTCACAAGCTTTTAAAATGTATACGTCAATGCATATTCCCTACAGCCCCATAAGTAAGCAGGGAGGATGCCATTATTACCCCTACTTTATAGATGAGAAAATAAAGGCTCACAGAGGTTAAGCAACTTGCCCGGGGCATAATAGAATATGTGGTAGAGATTCTCAGTCCTGTATATCCACCATGATACATGGTTTATAGTTATTTGAGTCCATGTTTCATATTTGCTAGTTAACTAGCAATTTGAAGTTAGGCCTTGTATTTCATTTATCACTATCTAATAAATGAATAAATATAAAACCCCAAATTTTCTATATATACATAAAAACTTTATAATTGGTTATAGTAACATAATGAATAAGAAGCACCATCATTTGTTATCTGAATAAAAAAATAGTATTTCAGATCTACAGTTTCACAAATATCCAAATATTTAAGCCCCATTTCATGACTTTCTTGGAATGTTGAAGGAGTCTAAGAAACTAAAATCCCCTCTTTGAAGGTTAGTTTAAACTCCTTTATTTTAACTAGTACTAAGTAGAATCAAATGTATCAAAAATATATGGGTTCCTAAATGAATTAGATTTCAGTTTTGTTTTTTGCACACAAAACAACAAAGTTAGCATCTTTATACGTGTTGTTTTCCTTATGTATAAGCTAGCACATATGCCATGGAATAGTAAAGAAAAAATATACAACAATATTAACTACGTATACAGATGTCCTTCATTCAGCAGCATTGGGTAGTTTATTAAAAAATTATTTGATACTTTTACTATTGTCTCTTAGAATGGTTTTACATCAATCAAAAGATTGTTAGGGGCTGTCACTAAATCCCTGGCTAACTGTATCACGGAACATGTGTTCCAGAAGACACCTGGCAAAGCACAGAATAACCCAATTACTTTTTATGTGATCAGAAAACACAGATGACACATTTAAGTTATCTGACATCCATGGATAGGCAGACCTCGGCGTACCCTGCAAATTTTCACTTCGTTCAAGAAGAATGTACCACATGTTGCTCCCACTCCTGAGTCAAAAGCTAACATAGACATCTTATAATATCTACTTTCATTTGTCTAAGTATGTTCATCTTTTTAAATAAGTTCATACCATTGAATGGGTCTGTAAAACATTCTAACATCTAAAACTTCTTAAATGTTTTAAAATACACTTTTGAGGCATGCTGTAAATACAAATTATAAACCTTTGAACTCATAAAGCATACCTTGACAGTCTTTATCAGATATTTCATGTCAAAACTGACTGTTAGTCTGAGTGCCAAACAGTATCTTTTGCCTCAATTTCTTAGTTCATCTTGAGAAATAAACTGCACTAAATGCGCACTGACACTCTCCAAGGTGACTGTGCAGTGCTTTGCAGCATCCTAAGGTATTTATAGCTCAGGCTGTTGTAAGATATCATAAATTCACAGCATGCTGAAGGTATCTGAGAATGACTTGTGATTCACAGGATATGATCAGATATAGTGAATGTGTTTAATACAATTTTCTGTCTTGTATTCAAGGCCAACTTGATTTCTAGAACAAAAGTAAAAAGTTACTCAAGTAAATCTTCTACATATAATCATTCAACCGTTTTCTCATGAAAAAGCATTATTATAGATGTTTAACCACAGTAATTTACCTTTTGGTCATGCTTTCTTTTAATTCTACCCCCCAAGTTTCATATTCAAGTTCAGACATGCCTGTTTAAAAATATCCTGTTCCAAAGTAACAAATAAACCTACCTTTCATGCATGTAGTCAACTCCCAGCAACAGCTGGATAAACCATTCTATTATTTGATCTTCTGAAAACGTTTTTCCTGCTTCTTTATATTCCTGAATTTTACAGTCCAGATCTCGGCCCTGAAACAAAACGGCATAATTTATCATAATTTCTCAGTTAAAATTTCAAACTCAGACTCTGTCAAATACAGTTGATATACAACAGTCACTGTTTTCGTTAGAAAGTGAGGGCACACTGCCAACGCTGCACTGTCGCCGACAGAGGTCCTCTTCCTGACCAAGCTCCGGGCAGGCCTCAGCCCTCTCCCACAGAGACTTGAAGAAACGCTGACATATTTCCAACAGCTCGAGGCCACATACCTAGCATGACCCTGGTCCCCCTGAAAATGCCTGCCTGAGAAAACTCCAGGCTGCCTAAAGAACTATTTGTTCCAGCCCACACCCCAGGACAGGGTCCCTTTTCCTGGTTTCTGTGGGAAAGTAGGAGCCTAACTTCTTGCCAGTTAGCAGAACCAGATATACATGGACCAACCCCTTCCCGCTTTTTGTAATTTCCGCTGCCCGGACTCTGCTCAGGTCCCCATTGTTCCCCCTCCCCCACTCTCCCTTTAGATTGTCCAGTCACCTGTGCACGTGTAGAGGGGAGCTCAGCCCTTCCCCCTCCTGACCGCAGTCACTAAATAAACTGTTTTCCCTGCTGCAAGTAATTAATATATGGCTGTGTTTACCTTCTACGTCACTCAAGGACAAAACCATTCTCAATGAGTTTTATTTTATTACACTACCTACATATGACCTAAAATTTATTTTCATTACATTTCATTACATTACATATTTATATGTACCCACATAAAACTAGGAATAACTTTTACTTCTGCACAGTGTTTTATATAACAATAGAACCCTAACGTGTATATGAATTAAAAGTATAAAGCCAGTCAACTTCAAATTACCATTAATGTGAACTAGTGATGTGTTGGTGAAAGTGCATCACTACCGCATTGGGCGCACAGTGCTGGCCGCTGGGGTGCAGACTCCCGTTCTGGCCCAGACTGACACGCACCTTGGGTTGACTCAACTCTCCTTTTCTTTATTTAACAATGCAAAACTCTCAGCCATGCAGCAACTGTAAATTTATGTGAAGTCCAAACACATCATTTAGTCGGTCTCTGTCCTACCACTCACGAGAGATAAGTGAAAGAATAATATTTGGTGACAAAAAAGAATCATTATCACAAATAACAAACATCTACAATTGCCTGGCAGACTATGATATAAGGCGCTTTCTGAAGATGGCGGCACAGGTAAACACGGCTTGCCTCCTCACACAACCACATCCAAATTACACTAAACTACAAAACAAAAACAATTCAAGAAGAAACCACCTGAAGACTGGTAAGAGGGGCAGGGACACGGAACAGGCTGGTCCTACACCCACATGTGGTGAATAAAAATTGGAGGGGATACCTCAGGAGCCAGGGAACATAGCCCCCCAACAGGCCCCCAACACAGGGTCCCAGTGCTGGGGAGATAAGTTTCCCTAACTCCTGGCTGTAAAAACCAGCAGGAATTGAGACCGTGGAAGACAGAAAGTGCAGGACTCCCTGGCAATTCTTAAAGGGCCCATGCATGAACTTATTTAGACTCATACATTCTGAGTTCCAGCGTAGGGGCAGCAGCTTGAAAGGCACCAGAGGCAAATGGGGAAGAGCTGAAGTATCTGGCACCAAGGTGAGACTAGGGACAGCTTTCTCCCATACAGATGTGCTGGCAGAGGCCCCTGTTTGTTTGATGAGCCCTCTCACACACAGAGCTCCCAGGCAGGGACCACACCTGAGACTCCACCAACCTGGCTCACACTGTCTGCCCCACCCTAGTGATTGTGAGGCTTTGCCTCCCCCAACTTTCTGGTCCACCCAGGGTGTTTCCAGGACCTTTCCATACAAGTGGCTTGTCTGGACTCAAGCTTTAGATTTTTCTAAACCCTCTCAAACAAGCAGCATCTGGCCTCAGCAAGCCCGGTACCTCTTGCTAAGTGGCCCCAGGACTGACACTAGCAGCAGATGGCCTTGCTTCACAGTTTGGCCTTGCTTGGACACCTGTAAGCCCAGCACAAGTGATACAGATCTGCAGACAATTTTGTAGCTTTATGCCAGGTGGCCCCAGAAAGAACACAGGCTGTGGTATCTCCCAGGAAGCCCCAGAGCCTGCACACCAAATGGAGAGATACAGACCACATCAGAGGACCACCACCCAACCACCTCCACAAGCAACACACTCAGGGGTGGACTCAGTGGGCACCACGGCCCCAGTGAAGTAAGTCCTGCTCTGTGGAGTAGGCCTCTGCAAGCTGATCCTCCACAGTGGTTGGAGGTTGGTGGTCAGTGGTCACAGACAGTCCTTATGGCTGATCGGCCTGGGTAAACCCCTCCCATTGACCTGCCGACAACAATCAAGGCTCACCTACAGGAGGAGGTTATTCACAGCCCACACAGTGGGCACACTTAAAGTACCCAGCTTGGGTGACAGGGGAGGCTGTGTCATTGGACCCTACAAAACACCTACTATGTTAGGCCACTCTACAAAGCATAGGAGATGTAACAGTTTATGTAATACACATAAACAAACACATGGAGGCTGTCAAAATGAGGAGACAAAGAAATATGGCCCAAATGAAAGAAGAGAATAAAACTCCAGAAAAAGACCTAAACAAAACAAAGACAAGCAATCTGCTAGATGTAGAATTCAAAACACTGGTTATAAGGATGCTCAATGAACTTAGGAGGAGAAAAGATGAACCCAGAGAGAACTGCAACAGCATAAAAAGGGACATGATATCCATAAAAAAGAACCAGTCATTAATGAAGGATAAACTAACTGAAATGAAGAACATTTTACAAGGACTCAACAGTAGCATAGATAACACCAAAAATCAAATCAGTAATTTGAAATCTAAGAAAGGAACAAACACTCAATCAGAACATCAAAAAAAAAAATCCAAAAGAATGAGGATAGTGTAAGAAGCTTATGGGACAACTCCAAATATATCAATATTCACTTCATGGGAGTGCTGGAAGAAGAAGAGAAAGAGCAAGAAAACCTGTTTGAAAATATGACAGAAAACTTCCCTAACTTGGTGAAGGAAATAGACATACAAGTTCAGAAATGCAGAGAGTCCTAAACAACATGAACCCAAAAAGGCCAAGATATATTATAATTAAAATGCCAAAGGTTAAAGATAAAGAAAGAATTTTAAAAGCATCAAGAGAAAAGCAGTTAGCTACCTACCAGGGCATTCCCATAAGCTTGTCAGCTGATTTCTCAGAAGACATTTGGTATGCTAGAAGGAATTGACAAGAAATATTCAAAGTCATTAACAGCAGAGACCTATAGCCAAGTTTGCTCTACCCAGCAAAGTCATTATTTAGAATCAAAGGGCAGAAAAAGAGCTTCATAAACAAGAGAATTCTAAAGGAGTTCATCATCCCCAAACCATTATTATATAAAATGTTAAAAGGACTTATTTAAGAAAAAGATCAAAACTATGAACAATAAAATGGTAACAAATACATGTCTATCAGTAATTGAATCTAAAAAACAAAATAAGCAAATAAGCAGAAGAGAAACGGAATCGTAGACACAGAGAATGTTTTGATAGTTGCCAGATGGAAGAGGGGTTGGGGAAATGAGAAAAAAGGTGAAGGGATTAAGTACCAATTGGTGATTACAGAATTGTCCTGGGGATGTAAAGTACAGCATAGGAAAGAAAGTAGCCAAAAAACATACAGGGGCCAGCAGAAGTAAAGCCTGCTTGAGTGTGGTTTGTAGGTTAATATGGGTGTAATAATTTATTGTTTTAATTTGAACATTTTACCTAAAATGTCATTTGGTGTGCCTGAGTGTGACATTGTTATGTTACAGAATTACATGCTTATGATTTTTGTAATAAAACATTTTGTAATGAAAAGGGGTGTTATCTGTGCTGGACCCTGTATGTGCATGACCTGTCGACATGGACAACAGTGTGGGGGTTGCCTGAAGAAGTGGGCGGGGGCTGGGTGAAGGGGGGTACGGGGGGGAAAATTGGGACAATTGTAATAGCATAATCAATTAAATATAATAAAAATTACCCTTTCTATTATGTTTACCTTCATGTATTTTACTCATCATAGAAATGAAAACACAAACTGTTAAATTCCCTTAGAAAACCACTATACCTTATCTTGTACACTGACATATTGGAGACAATTTAAGAACTGTTCCACTGAAGAGAAGGATGGGTTAAACGCAACTGGGTCTTGTTTGGGGCTGTTGATAGTACAGGCACCATGAGCAGAGAAGAGGTATGAGCCACGTCTACAAGGAGCATAAGAGCCAAACATTAAGCTACTCACAGACTATTCCTGACAGAGTCGTCATCATTAGATGCGAAGAAAAAGCATTTATAGGCAATTAAACAATCAAAGGGAAATTACTTCCAATCAAACAACATGAAGTCAACAGAATAAATGATCTGTAATGTATTTTTTATTTCCTATCAGTGCAATATGGAAATGTTTTTGTAGCATATTCTCTCCTTTTGCACAGAGCAACCTCAAGTCAAAAGAGCATATCAAATTTTCAACTTTCAACTTGTTCAAATTCAATTTTCTACGGAATTTTCTGGACAAGGAGATCAAAGCTTATTGGAATTCCCAAATACAGCGAATCAAATATTAACTCCTTGTCAAAAAGACCATCATCTCTTCCCATTCGCCAAACCTGCCTTTATCTTTATATCTCCTCTCTTTTTAATCCTAGAGTATATCAAAGTTAGATCAAACAAGCTATGTTGTCACAAATTTTCTATAACTTATAGATTATTATAACATCTGTGAAGAAGTCACAAAACCCCTTCAGATGAAAGGCAAGCTATAAATGTGCCTATATATTCCAATCCCAAGTTTCCTTTTCTATCAAAGGAGATTCTAGCAAAACTTTTTCTCACAAAAATTTTTCAAAAATTAAAACAAAAACAATATCCCCTATTAATATCCCCCTTGGGTTCTCTGAATATAATAAAATATACCCAGTGGAAGAAAGACAATTATCTACATGTTGTTGTGTCCTTCCTGAACAGC